ACAGTTTGAGATTTTTAACAATCAATGGAAATACTAGTTATTTTTCAGCTTCCTTGCATGCTCTCTTTCTTCTTTCGTACTAAAAAATGCTTTCCTATCTGCTGGTTCAATATTATTTTCCATAGCAAATTGCACCAATGGACGTTTCATTGCGTAGGCATCCTCACCATCAGCATAATATTTCGGTTCCACATCAGAAATTTCAAATTTTAAAGTGTTCTGTAAAAGAAATTTTCATCAATTGCATAGTTATCCTTTCCTTAATAAAAAATTTCTTTTTTTTTTTTTGACGACACTCTTCGATAAGTATTCATTTAATATTTTCATTTTTTCTTTCCATAAGACAACTGTAAGGGATGGAATTATTCCAGAATATATGGAATTTAAGGACATTATAATATTATACCATTCACCATAAAATAGTAACATCAACCACCGAAATAATTTCTCAATTATTCTTTTAGGATTTAAGAATAGTTTTTAAGATCTTAAAAGATGACAAATTATCAAAAATAATAAACCTGATAAAGATTCAGTGCAGCTCTATTTGATACACGTACATGAAGCGAGACATAACGAGCATTGAATGTTTCAATCATTGCACGAGCTGTTTGATCCATTAACTTTTGGGCAAGACCGAGACGGCGATATGAGCGCTTGACCGCCAATGAAGTAATATGACCATGGGGTTCATCATCTGCTTCTTCTTCCATTTTTGCCAATACATAACCAACAATATTACCCTAAAACTGACTGATTAATTGATTTCGCAATAAAATATGCAATAATTATTTGAAATGCTACTTATTAGGAGGCTTTTTTGCATCACAATCTGACCCTATAATGAAAGCAAAAGATTGAAAACAACAACGAGAATGAAAAAATTTTTGAAAAATCTCAAAATCTCAGGCTCGAAAATTTTGTTTGACACTTGTCCTTCACCTTTTTACTTATATAAATGATGTACCTTTTAATTTTCTAGTAACAATATTCACATATACACTGTTTTGTAAAATTTCGAAATTTAGATTTGTTATCTTCCGCTATCACCTTACTATGTTTACTAATAAACAGTAAATGAAATCAAGATGAAATATAGAAGAAATCAATTACACATGATGACACTAAATTCTTGATATGTTAACACATCAAACAGTTAAGTGACCATATCTGTCTTTGCTTAAACATTTCGCAAAGTAGCCTACGGTTTTAAATTTTGATAAATTTCTAAAAATGAGATCAAAAGAAGTTATTTGATATCCATTATCGGTATCTCTTTTACCTTATCATCTTCGGCAACATACGATAACTGTGGCCATGATAAAGCATGATAAAAGTAATATTTCATCTGGTAATTTTCGGGTAAACATAACAAATTGCAATGTTGCGTATTCAATAAATCATCTGCTTTTGCTACCCGAAGATTCATCCTTTCATCGATTCTGAAATTATTAATATTATCTAAATATTATCAACTTTCAAATTAGTTAACTTACTAACTATCTAACACTTTTGTTATCCACACTTATGCTATCTATATTTCATTCTTTCTATCTATTATCTAAATAATTCATACCATCAGTTACTTTTCTGCACACTATTTACACTCTTACTTAAACTATTTGTCTCAAAGTTTTCAATTCATACTATCAATTACTTTCCTACACCTAAAATTAACCTGAAATGAACCGATTATAAATCCAAAAACAAACAATACGGGTAATGCCAAACCTACCTGAACCACAACAAATCACCACCCGATAAAACCTGAAAACCTATATATAGGAGGAGACCTATTATTTCACGGCCCTAAATGCTCACAACTAATTCCCACCACAGTTTTGATTTTAATTTGAGTAAAAAATAATTTGTATTTGTGAATTTTTGTAGAGTTTTATATAAATGGCTAGTGTTAAATTGAATAGATATTTGCCTCAGAGTTTTAATTTCTTTTGTCAATTTTAAAATTAAATAAAAAATGACAAAAAATAATGAATTATTTGTATTGCTGATAAATAAATTAGAATGTCATTTAAGAGGATATTATAAATGTGTTTTCAAAATAATCTAAAAACTTTTCTTCTTGCTAAACATACAAAATTTCTATTTAACTTATAATAAATAAGTGAAAAAAAAAATTTTTTTTTATGCAAAAAGGTTCCTGGAAAAAAGAATTATAATATATCGAAAAAAAAAATGAATTATTCAAATTTTATTTGTTTACTTAATTATTTACATAAATTATAAATAAATGATACTTTTATTTATCATAAAAAGTTTACATTTTATATTCAATTTAGTTGAGGTATGAGAGAAAGAGGAAGAGAAAAAAAGAACAATTTTATCATTTTTTATGATAAAATTTTTATGAGTATTTAATGGATTTTCTTTTTTTTTTTTAAAATATTTTGAATTTTTTTTTTTGCTAAATAATTGCAAAACTTGTTATTGCTAATATATTTTTTTTTTTTCTTCTTTTGTGAATTCTATCAAAAGTTTATTGTGAAAAACGATTCGAATAATGAAGAAAACCAGTAAAAATAATTGGTAAAATTAATTTACTTCCAAATGAAAAAAGCATCGCATTGAAATCGATGAGCGCAAATAAACATTTAATTAAATAAAATATTTCTTTTACGTGCATCATTTCAGATTTATTTATAAATATTTGAATTTCTAACAATTAGTTATTGAGTTATTTTTTAATTTCATTAAAATTTATTTAAGTTTAAAATTTAACTAAAATTCAATTTGTGCTAACTAATTATAACATTCTTTTTTTTTTCCGTTCATTTTTTTTTTTAAATTTTTAAAAATTTTTTTTTTTTTTTTTTTTTTTTTTTTTTTTTGGAATTTTCATATACTAAAAATTATCTAACTTTAATTTATTTTTCTATATTGAAAAAATTTGATTTAAACAATAATTTAACCTTTCATATTCTTCCATTTTCTCTCGTAATTTTTTTTTCTTTCGTTTATTATAAGTTAAAAATTGAGTAAAATAATTAATTTAATTTAATTTAATTCTTGTTATTAAATTTTTATACCTATTAAATTAGCAATAATACATTGAGTGTTAACAAATATGCATCTTTCATTAAATTTTTAGCTAATATTTCATTTCCACTTCATAGCTAATTAAATTAAATTTAATCATTCAATCATTTTCTATATCAAATCATGTTAAAAAAAAAAAATCATGAAGTGATTAAATTTAAATTAAAACAAGATTTTTCATTTTTTTTTTCTGTTTTAGAGAAAATAAAGAGTATTTATTTTTAGACGAAATAGAAGAGAAAAGAAAAATGAAAATTAAAAGTAAACTAATTTTGCTTAATAAAATTAAATGAATAAAAAAAACAAAACAAAACAGATTGTTTGTAAAAGCGTTCTTTTTTTTTTTTTTTTTTTTTTTTTTTAACAAAATTCCTTTTAAATACGGCAAAAAATTTGTTATATTTTAAAACAACACAGAATATAAAGCAAAACTAATGTTTCTTATCATTAACATTATCATTAATTGTTATCATTGTTATTATTATTGTTATCTCTCTCTCTCTTTTTTTGATTTCTTCATTATTTATTAATGTTAAAATTTAAATTTAACAATATTTTTAGAAAAAGAAACGATAAAACAATGAAAATTTAAATTAAATTTTCAGGTTATTTTTTTTATTTATTCATTTGAAATAAATTTTAATCATATTTTTCAATCCATATTATTTTTCTCTTCTAATTCGCTTTTAATTCATTCAATCAAATACGATCGACAATAAATCATTTTTACGGTTCACTAAATTAAATTTCGAAGATATTTGTAACTAAATAATCACTCTATTAAGGACAACAATGATAATTGCTTTTTGCAAAGAAAAAAAAAAAAAAAAAACAAAATAATTTAAAATGTTCAAATTTTATCAGTTGAAAAAATAATATTTAATTCACATTAATTGTTTTCATTTTAAAATTGTCATTTGCAATTCTGTCACAATTACTTACTCAGTTAATCATTACTCTCATATCAACTAATTGAGTTTGAAAAAAAATTAAATTAACATAATGAAGCGATGAATTTTTCTGTCATTTACAATTTGTACTAATTATCAATTGTTTTTCGTTTTTAAACAATGTAAAATTTTTGTTCCACAATCTATGAAATTGATATTTCTTTATTTTAGGTTTGCGCATATTTTTGACGTAATTCTTATAACAGAATAATTTTTTGTCACGTTTCACGTAATGCTTACTTTATACGTGATCATCAATTTTTTCATCATTTTTCTTATCATACCGATCAGAGCTAATAAAACAACCAATCAACGATGTAATCAACTATTGGCTTGTGCAGTGAGAAAAAAATGTCTAAAGGTATGAATTAAAAAATTTTTTTAATTTTCAAAAATTTATATATAAAAATTTCAAATTTTTATCAAACGTTTAATGTTTGCTTTTTTCTGCTTGTTTTGATCAGATTGATAAGAATAATATAATCAAAAATTTGAATATTTTTCAATTAGAAGGAAAAGAAAGAGATGACGATAGATCTGATGATAAGTATTTTTATCATAAAGTACTTGTGAAAAATGATTAATAATAAAAATAATAATTATAATAATAATAGTATCACTATCGTTTATTAATATTATTATTTGTTATTATTATTATTTTTATCATTTATTTATTATTATTATTATCATTTATTTATTTATTATTATTATTATTATTATTATTATTATTATTATTATTAATTAGTTGTTATTTTTACTACTATTTTTATCACTACTTTTACCATTAATTAAAATAGCTTATGCTAAAAAGAAGCATTTTATAAGAATTAGAAAGCAAAAAGAAAGGGAAAAGAAAGATTAATTCATCAATTTTTTTTTTTTTTTAAATATTTTTTAAAAAAAAAACTTAAAAAATTATTGATAAATAAAATATTTATCTAACAGATATCATACATTATCAATCGATTCAATGATTCAATCATTAACAAAGAAATGTACAATGATTTGGATAAAAGTATCGACTATGGTTGTATATTTACAGTTGGTTGTTTAGATGAATGCAACAATTGTCCAATTTGTAAATTAAGTAAAGAACAATTAATTGATGTTTTATCTGGTAGTGAACGATCATCTGAGAGTATGTTAATAGTTTATTCAAAAATTTTTTTTTTTAATTAAATATTTTAATTAATTAAAGTATGAGAAATATATTTAGTTGTTAATCAATTTATCATAGTTATTAAATTTATCATCTGTTATTCTGGCTATTATCATTCATTATTTCAGTTATTATTATTATTATTGTTATCATTTATTTATTTATTATTATTATTATTGTTATCATTTATTTATTATTATTATTATTGTTATCATTTATTTATTTATTATTATTATTGTTATCATTTATTTATTTATTTATTATTATTATTATTGTTATCATTTATTTATTATTATTATTATTTATTACTAGTTCTAATCGCTGAACTATTATTACTATAAAATTGGAAAAATAGGAAAAAGAGATAAAATGAACGAAAATTTAAATAAACAATTTTTATATCTTAAAAAAAAAAAAAAAGAAAACAATTTAAATGATATTTTCGTTGAAATAAAGTGTTGCTAATTTTGTCCAAATCATTCCTTTCTTCCTTGCAATTCAGATAAAAATGAAAAATTTTGAAAAGAAATTAGAAATTTTTTAGAAAAAAAAAATTCAAAATTTAAATAAAATCTGAAAATTTTTCATTTGTTTTTTGTTTAAATTATATTTTACTTCTTAATTCAGAACGAAATGATTGAAAAAAAATTCTTTTTTTTTCAGCTCCCCAAACAATTGATTAAAAATATATATTAAAAAAAATAAATTAAAAGATTAATGAATGAAATTATATATTTAATATTTTCTAATAATTATATATCAAATAATATTAATTTAAATATAAAAAATTATTAAAAAAAAGGAAGAAATTAGATAAAAAATAAGGAAAAAAAAAAACAAACAAAATGTAAAAAATGAAATGTTAAAACTTAAAATTTGATAAAAATTTCAGATGAATGTTCTATTTTGGTGAATTGTGCAACAAAATGCATTCAACAAACAAATTTTAATTTTATTAAAACTAATTACTGCTTACGACATCAATGTGCTTATCATTGTTTTGATGGTTCATGTCCAACATGTAGTGCTTTTGTCACACGAATTTTTAATCAAATTTGCATAAAGGGTAATTTACGAAAAAGGATTAATTTTAAGGTTAGTTAGCTAATTAGTTCAATTTTAATTTTTTAGAATTAAATTATGTAAAATTTTTTTTTAAATTTGCAATAAATTTAATTTTTTTTCTTTTTATTCATTAAAAAATTTAGCTAGTTCAATTTTAATTTGTTAGAATTAAATTATGTAAAATTTTTTTTTTTTTTTAAATTTGCAATAAATTTAATTTTTTTTCTTTTTATTCATTAAAAAAATTTCGTTAGTCTTATAATATTACTAATTTTTTACTTTTATTCCTTCTTTGATCACAAATATTTCCTTTTTTTTTTTCTTTTACATAATGAATGTATAAATTAACGATTATAAAATGTTAAATTCAAAAGTTTTTTCAAATTTTTCAGCAAAAAATTTAATGGAAAATATTGAATTCAAGTTTTAATATTTAGTAGTTTTTTTTTTTACAATTTTAAGTTATTTTATTTAAGTAATTCAAAAAAAATTTCTTTTCATTTCAAAATAATTAGTTTTTTTTTTTCTAATTTAAAAAATATAATCGTAAAATATTGAAAAATAATAAAATTGTTAGAAAAAGTTGACAGTTAGTTTCCTTTCATTCCAAATCTCTATGATATCATATCGAAGTAAAATCATTTTTATAATTTATAACAACTGAACAAATAGGCGCAACTGTCAACATAAATCATCATTGTCATCATTATTGTCACCTTTATTACCATCAACACTATTATTATTATTATTATCATTATTAATATTATCACTATCATTACTATCATCATCATCATCAGATCTAATCGATTCATTTAGCAATAATTCAAACAAAGATTTATAAAATGGAAATAAATTGTAAATTAAATTTAACTAACCTTATTAACCTATTGAAAAGCTTTGGATTGCAATTCATACAAAAAAAAAAAAAAGGAAAAAATCGCTCAATCAATTTGAAATTAAAAAATATCAGCTTGAAGAGCAAAAAATTAAATTTAAACAAAAATAACAATTTAAACATGAAAAAAGTGAAGTTAAATTTCAACATTAATATTATCAAATTTAACAAAGAATTTATTAGAATTTTGTAAATGAAAACTTTTCAATTAATCATTTTACAAATGATTTTTTTTATATATTTCTAACTTATGAATCAAAAATTCATATGAAAATTTTGTATGAATGATAAAAATATAAACAAATGCAAATTAATAGAAAGAAATGGGCAATTTTAAGTTTAATTGAGTTTAAAATATAAAATAATCTATTAGACAAATATCAGAATCAATAAAAGTTATCATAAAATATTTAAATAATTTAAATGTATTATCAAATGATATCAATAATAGATAATACAAAAATAAATATTTACTATCTTTGCTACTCATATTTCATTCAAATATTCTTTATCAATAATAAAAAATATATATATATATATATATATATAATTTCATCAAATTAATTTCATTTCCATTTTAGTGTAATAAATAATTTATAGAAATAATTTTTATTGACTATAATATTACTTTCAACAATGAACATTGTTTTAATTCTTTACCTTTATTTCAGGGTCAATGCTATGAAATGTTTCGTGAAATAGTTTATCAAAAATTTGAAAAGAAATTTAAGGAAGCAGATCGAAGACCAGCTATTGATATAAAAACTAATTTATTATGGTCCAATTGATTTTTTTTTTTGAAATTGTGTAAAAGTAATTTTGTACATTTTTTTCATTTTTCCTTTTTTTGCTGATTTTTTTTTTTTCTTTTTGTTTTTCATTTATCAATTTCATACTTTAAAATATTTAAAAAAAAATAAAATAGCAACAGTATAGCATTTCCTGTATGACTAATGATGATTGTTAATAATTGAATGATTGAAAAGAATTTCACATACTTTTCATGCATTTCATTTCACTGTACTAAACAATCATTGGTCATTTTGATGAAATAAGAATGATTAAATTTCTTCCTTTTTTCTTCTTTTATTTTTTTTTTTTTCATTTTTGTTTATTTTTCATTCAAACTAAAACTTCGATAAACAATGTAAACAAATGAAATAGATTTTTGCACAAATCATTTCATCATGAAATTTTTGCTTGCAAATAATTTACGCGTCTTATTTTTATTGGCTTATTCATCATATATTTCAGTCAATTATATTTTGATAATAATAATAATAACAGTAATAATAACAATAAAATTTTTTAATTTAATAGTAATAATAATTTAATAATGACAACGATAATAATAATAATAATTAATAACAAATAGTATAATAATAATTAGTAATAACGGTAAAATTAATAATATTGTTAACAATAAATGGCGACAAGGATGACAATAACAATAATAATAAAATAACGATAATAATAATAATAATGAAATAACGACAGCTGATGATGTCCCAACATGTACAAAGCACTCCAATCACAGATGTTGAAACACTCAAAAGATCGTTAATATGTGTCAACTGTCCACCATCGAAATATGTGTTTGATGCTTACATTCATTAGCTTACACAATATGCAAGACAATTTTTTATTGGATTCTCTCATGGAGCTATAATTTAAATTAACCGTAACGAAAACCGAAATTTGAAACTGAAGCGAAAAATATAAATTATAAATTAGGGAATAAAGCTTGGTACTCGTTACAAAATTTGCAAACCTTTTAAATTGATCGTCTATTGAGTAAATTATTACATGATGAAGTAATTTCCCATGATGTTACAATTTATGAATTGATTAACTCGTTTTACTTATTGTTGTTCAAGTTTATCATTTAAAAAAAAAAAAAAAAAATCTTTTAATTTAATTGTTACTGTAGTAAAATGAAATTTGTAAATGTATTAAAATACTTTAGCATTTGCAATATGAACTGGTATAATCGATGTTGTATTAGCAAATTATATGATTGATATATTATTATGTATGCAAACAATGTATTTGTGAAAGCAATAGATAAGATGGGAAATAGTAATTGTATTCCCAGCAAAAACATTCAATAATATTTCGATACCAATCGGAGATAGGTACCTGTTTATAATATATACACATACACGCTTAAGGTTGCATTAATCAAATGCAAAATTTCCTATCAAAAAGCTAACCAATTTTATAACATTTCCTCTTCCAACTGATCTGTATAACTTGGCTAAATAATTTAGATAAAAAAAAAAAAAAAAAAAAGAAGGAAATGTGGAAATTGCAACCTTGATAAAATAGCACCAGAAATTTTGTAACTTCTTCGAAAACTTTGATAAAAAAAAAAAAAATAGTTATGTGCTCAATAAAAAGCATTACAAATTTTAGAAGTTAAGAATAGGAATAATTTTAGTAATTTATTAATTTTGCTTATTAATAAGCAAATATATGCTATAAATTATTTAGGAACAGATGTTAAAGTCCATTACATATTTCTAAGGAACAAAATTTTCATCTTCTTGCAAGAAATTCAATATACAGTACACCCGACATGCAAAAAAAAAAAAAAAATTGACACTTATAAATGTTACTGGTAAGATTATTCATAGACAATAGGTTATTTGCCAATTTCAAAACAATAATTGGATCATAGATTTCAGGAACTTTCAGTATACACAACACGGAATGGTTCAGCCCACAGTAAGTTCGGGATGATTATATGATTGCTTTCAGGCTTGCTAAAAAACGAAAAAAAATGATATTCTTTTTCAATATACGATCATTAATATTTTAAACAAATGAAACAAACCACACTTATGAAGAGAAAAGCCATGAACATCTATTTCATAGGTTTATGAAATCACAACAATGCCCGAAGTAAAGGTATAAAGGTGAAATTAGGTGTAGTGGTCTGAATGGTGCCAAAGCTGTATTACAACGCTTTGGACAAAATCCAGGCCATTACTCCCATAATTTAAATAAAACAATTACAGCATTCAGAATACTTCACGTAGGTAAGGATGGCTTCTAAAGATATTTGGAGTGTACGGAAGGTAAAAATAACAGATACCCAGATAACATGAAAAATTAACACTTCGCGAGCCGAATCGTGCTGTGATGCATAACCGAATTACAATGTACCACAAAGCCGATACGGCTCACGAGATTTGTTAACAGAACTACAAAGAGGGATAAGGCCCTTCGCGATCATGACATTACATTCATGAGAAATTGGACATATCTTACTTCAATATGAGTACTCAAAAGAATCATCACTAAAAGTAATACCTCAACCACAGACAACAACAAAGGAAATCCAAGAAAAAGTGCAGCACACAGCAAGCTGAGCCACCAGTTGGCTGTGATTCGATCCAAAATTTCTCAACGGATCACAAGACCACTGGCAGTTCAAGCTTAGCCATGAATATTCCGGAATTTCAAAATCAGTTTAAATTCGTACCCAGTACATCTCATCCAAGGAATACCATAAATTCTTATCTGAGAAATAACTTCAACAATTCGCGTCTCTCAAATACCACACACACACACTCTCAGAAACAGTGCAAGCAACCTCCCAAACTGCTTTAACACACTAATCGTCTCCATAAACAAAGAAGCAAACTACAGTAAATCTATCAGCTTTAATTGATTGATTGATGTAGTTAACCGAAGGAAGCAAGCGTGAGAAAGACGATACTAGTTATCACTCTGATTTACAACCAAGGAAATGCATATGCTCGAACAAAACCAGCGCTCACTTCACCAAGTGGAAAATAATCTTACATAAAGAATATACATTTCATCTCTCTCACACTTACTCATTCATTCATATTTCATATATCATACTGTCACAATCCCTTCTACAGAATTGTAGTACCAATATCAACTCAATCTACTACGAGTTACAACATATCGTGAACTATCGAATACACAAAAAGCCAGCCTTTTCATCTCAACCACTGAAACAGAGAGAGAGAGAGAGGGAAGCACTATAGAAGCATTCGTATTCCATCTCTTCCTCCAATTCATGAAACAAACTAGTAAAACTTTAACCTAACTGATTTGCATCTTACTTTGATAACGGTAATGTCATAACTACTACTACTTCCCTTTTACTCACCACCAAATAATTTTTTAATCATTAATTGAGAATGGAAAATTTTAGGCAGCTGACAATGGGCAATATACCAAAAGGGAAGGTCAACAACACATATGTTCTTTTTAACGTCTTTCCAATATATTACTCTTTCTTTACTAACAAAGGAGAAGAGAGAGAGAAAAAAAAAAAGGAATGATTCATGCCGACCGATAAAAAAAAAAACCTCATCTCAGTCCAAACCGTCCAAACCTTATAAATGCCCTCTGTATACTATGTAGTAGAGAGGAAAGAAGAAAAAAGAAAAAAAAAAAGAGAAAACAACAAAACAAATAGATTTAAAGAACGACACTCACAAACATAGATTTCACTCTTCCGTTTCAATAGAATTTCCTGCCAAAAGAACGCTTGATTATAGCATCATAATTCAATCTTTTTTAACTCAAATTTCAAAAGTTTAGGCTTAACCTACGAAGAATATCCCTTTTGGTAAACACAAGAAGACAAAAAAGAAAAAAACTCCAATTCTATTACAACTACATAACCAAACCAAACTGTATGTGAAGGGAAAGGAAGAGGAGGAAAAAGAAAGGGATGAAATTCTGCTCTTCTCGTAATCAGACTCCGATAAATCTCCCTACACACGCAATCTAACCTTATGACAGTACTCACAACTACGATATCGCAAGATATTCATGATTCAAGACGATCCTATAACATCATTTTTGGACCCCCTCCTGTGACTTTTAACTTCCGATTAAACAGCAATGACCCAATTTCATCTGTTAAAATGAACATGAACTTCCATTCTACCTCACACTTCTCCTCTTGGAACTTCCACACAGCTAAGCCATCATACAAAAAAAAAAACTTTTGTAAGAGATAATACGGAAAACATGGGAAGCAACACCACTTGAGAACCTTTGTTACTCAGTATGACAAAGGAAAGAACAAGTAAGAAATAGATAACACAATAAGAGATAGACCGTTAAGAATGCCGGGTCACATAGCTGAGTATGGTTCTAGTCATGAATCTCTTACATGCCACATGACTAAGAACCATGCTCAGCTACGAATGAACAGCATCATTATCAAAGAGGATATTTAGTCTTATTATTGTAATATTTCGAAGGGTACATATTCAGAAACATAAATTGAAGAAAGAAAAAAGACAAAGGCATGATAAATATAAGAACCCTCCAAAGATTCCGTAAAATCAGGAAATTTTCAACTGCAGCGAAAAGCAGGACAGAGGAAATTAAAGTTAAAAGATGTTAGGATAAAGCCAATATATCTTGCAAGAAAGAATTATAAAGCTGAAACAAGTACTGTGATCAGAAAATAACAAATCATGCAGAAATGAATGCGAAAATAAAGAAAAAAAAAAAGAATGGTAAAAAAGTGAGAAGAAAATTTAAATTCCAGCAAATTCGAATCATTCGTTTAGCGTTCTTTTCTCCATTGTAACTCAGCTGAAATAGGTCTAAGGTCACACAACTCTTATAGGGAGACAAAGAGATCAAATCATATGGATTGCATTAAAGGTCACTTCAGCACTCAAGAGAGAAAAAGAGCACATTAACTGGGGTCTCTTTCTTTTAATAAAACAGTTCAGTTCTCTTTCCATGATTATAATTACAACTATATGGAATTAGGTAGGAAGCAACAATATATCATATTCAATTCTTAGCTAAGGTCAAAGTTCCATGAAGAGAGACAAAGATGATACGAAACGGAAGAGAAAGAATGTTAACCTCCATTGACAATGAATGATATACGTACAAAAAGACAAAAAAATATATACAAATATGTCGCTAAGTGAATACTTCATCATATAACGCACACATTTGCGAGGCGTAATGCCAAACACTAAAGGAAATAGTCAACGATAACACTTTAAAAGGAAAATAAACCAACTACAATTAGAAACAAATCGTAATAGATCAGAATGTAACCCAAAATATTCTACTATTTAAAATTAATCCGTAAATAGTAATGTATTGTTATTTTACTTCTTAAGCCAAAAACAAAGAAAAAAAAAATGCAATTCATGAGTACTTAATATGATCACTTCTCACTAATTCAACTGATAATTCCGTACAACTGGTAGACAGCTAATGGTCAAATCATCATTAAAGATATCACTTGCAACGAAGTTCATCATCAACATCAGTCAACCATACCGGTACAAGAAGTCCTGAAGTGATCAGACTATAAAAGGAGTAGATCATATCGTATCAACATCGATATCCCAATGAACCGTGCAAAGGAAAAAAAAAGAAAAAAAACGTTCCTTTGTATGTTGTACACACGCAATCTGAATAGTATTCCGATGATTTGCGCCCAGCAAATCGTACATTTACAAAAAGGATTGATGCTGATAGTAGTATTAGTAGTAGTGGTAGTAATAGTAGTAGTAGTGGTGTAGGAGTAAGAGTAAAGGGCAAGAATAAGAGTAAGGGTAAGGGTAGGGTAAGAGTAAGAGTAAAAATAAGAGGTAGATGACGATGACAGGGTAATAGGGTGAAGAAAGTATTTCTTCTTTCTTCCCTCCGTACTCCTTAAATCGCCCTCGTTGTTCTTCCTCAACGATACCCCCCCCCCCTTTACCTCCTCCTCCTTTATCGGTTTGAATAGGACCAGACCATTCGACCTCCATCTTCTACCTTCCTCTTCCCCTTCATCACATACACACACACATATACATACATCCTACGGGAAGTGTCGGGTAAGATGCGCAATGTGCATATACATAATATATACCATCTATATACACATATATATATTAACAACAAAGACATTAAAGATAATGAGTAATTGAATGGAATGGGAAAGTAAGCAAGCTTATGGTGTATAAAAAAGGAGCGAACTGTTAGTATCGAGTAAATTATATTACTGCAACAAATGATAACACTCATAGCAAAACAAAATTAGAACGTAAGATTTATACATTCTTGAATAGTAGTAGTAGTAGTAATTCCAATTTCAATTAATGAGATATAAAATGTTAACCTATACCAATCATTTATATTAATTTAAAAGTGATCTTTTAAAGAAAATAAAAGTCTAGGACTACTTTTTTTTAATTTTTCTTATTTCATACTATAACATTAACATATATTTTATATTTGAAAAAAAAAAAAAGCTAAATTCATTTGTAAATTTTCAAATAATTGAAAGTATATCTAAAAAAAAAACGAAAAAAAAAGACTTAGAAAACTCGAATAAACCACTTGATTAGCAATATATATCATTATACTGAATTAATTGAAAAAAGACAATTACTATTGCAATTCGCTTCGTTCAATCTAATATGGAATTATCGGGAAAAAAAATAATATAAAGTAGGAAAAGAAAAGTAATGAATGAATTAATTATATCAAAGATAAACATTTCAAATAATTTAATCAAAAATAATTTGAAAGATAAAAGAAAAAAAAAAAAAGATGGTCGGTAAACTAGTTGGTAAAGCTTTTCTAATACAACAATAACAGTAAGTAATTTAATCCGAATTGATATCACTCATTCTCTTAATCATTCATTCATTCATTCATTCATTCACTCATTCTCTTAGTCATTCATTCATTCATTCACTCATTCTCTTAATCATTCATTCATTCATTCATTCACTCATTCTCTTAGTCATTCATTCATTCATTCACTCATTCTCTTAATCATTCATTCATTCATTCATTCATTCACTCATTCTCTTAGTCATTCATTCATTCATTCACTCATTCTCTTAATCATTCATTCATTCATCCACTCACTGAATAACTTAATCGTTAATTACCACTGATCAAATTGAACGATCAATCGAACCCGAACCGATCAACAGATCCGTCTTCGCTTGTCTCCTGTCCTCTCCTCTCCTCTCGTCTATTTCGATGGAATGCGCGAGACAATTGATGACAGACAGACAGATTCAAATACTGAGTTACGACAAAACGGCACTCAAGTTAGCTAGTACAGATATGCTGGTTGGCGCCAAAATTATTTGGAAATTCTCAGGGTGGTGTGCAAAAATGCAAATATCTAACTGATACAAGCATACAATCACATATATATATATATATACACAGACACCCACATACATACATACACACACACACACACACATACACGCATGCAGACATACACGCAACATACACATACCTACATACATTGTGTCCCGTCCTGTCGCATCAAACTGTCCTCTTTTTACGGGCACCGCGTACTTTCCCGCTTCTCTTTTCGCCTAATTTTTGTTGCAAAAATTGAAGTTGCGCGGGAAATATTTCAATTAAAAATTTGAAAAATGCACGTTGTCATTTTGTAAATAATTTCAAAATGAGCGGAGAAAATGTTTTAAATTAGTAGTATTAGAGCTATTTATGAAAAGAAATGTTAAATGTTAAGTTGTAACAATTTCTGTTGGATAACGTACGTCATTCACGTAAAAAGTTATGAGTAATTAAATATGTATATATATATATATGCTAATTAAGTATAGAAATTATACAAAAAATATTTTCCTTTATGATTTATTTTGCTAACTTAATGTTTATTGTAATTATAATTTTTAAAAAAATGTGCTAAAATAGATAATTTTATCCCTTATTCATTGTTTTTTTTTTTTCATCTAATGAAATTCGAATATTTATTGAAATTAATTTCAATAAATATTAACCTATAATTGATAATTATGAGCTTAGTAGAATTATTATTAATATTTATGTTTCTTTTTCTTTTTTGCATGATAATATTTTATTGTTATGTTCATCTAAAAAAAACTTTTTTCTAATTTTTGTATAATTTCAATTTATTTTTTTCTCCTTTTTCAAAAAAAAAAAAAAAAGAAAATCTATATTGATATATACAATATATAGCAAATATGTTGCATTTTTTTACAGGATATGATCAATTCAATCCAATCTATTCAATTGAATCATTTAACAACTTAAGAAACTTGAAATTTTCAATATTTTTGTTGAAAAAAAAAAAAAAAAGAAAAACTATCAAATATATTGCATAAATGAACTATTCAAAAATATTTCAAGAAATATAATGAAAGAAAAAAAAAAAGAAACAAATAGTAACACAATCACACACATACACATACACATACACACACACACACACAACATACACGCACACAAATATCACAGAGTAAAACTCCAAATCATTTTATTCAACGAGCTCCAGCATCCCTTGCCTAATCAACATCTCGCAATCGGCCACAGGTAACGAATGCTGTAAAAAGCAAAAAAAGAGAAATAATCATCGACCGTTTTTTTTTCATTTTTTTTTTTAAATTAAATTTTGAAAAATCAATCCATTTTATATTCTAACTTCCCTAGGATATTTCTTAAATAATAATCCAATATCAGAAATTACTCGTAAAAGATACAAGAGTTAAATATGGAATTTTTAAAATTCTACTCAAATTTTTCTCTTAAATGGAAAATTAAAATTTAACAAAAAAAAAAAAAAAAAAAAAAGTAAAAACTTTTGAAATAAAAAAAAAAAAAAACAAGAAGTCTATACCAATGCATTTTCAGTGAGAGAAACGGTTGTTCCATCACTTAACTCAAAAGAACCAATATTTTGTTTTGCCCGAACCTAGAAAAAACAAACTGATGATTTAATTAATATGATAATTTGTTGCATGTGATTTTTCAATATTTTAAATCATTAATTTAATTCACTTTAACTTAATTTGTGTGAATGAAATTGCAAAAATGCAAAGGAAAAATTTATGGTAAGAAAATTCACGAAAAAGAGGAAAAAGACACGATAAAGTGAAGTGCAAAAATCAGCCAGTAAAAAAAAAAAAAAAGATAAAATGGGTAAATTAAAAGATGCTGACCTTGACAAATAAATTATGAGGCGGTTTCATATTCAACAATAAATTCACTCCGTTCTCACCAAGCGAACTTTGAAAATCGGCAAGAAGACTGTTGTATTCCTGTAGCCATTTCAGTTCCGCTTCACACATACTTTCCTGAAAACTTGTAATTCTTAAGCAGGAAAAGAAGAAATAAGATACTGACTTAATGTGAAATGATTATATTTTACAGCTAGCAATCGTGTTATAATTTTATTTCTCGAATAATAAAATTATTCTTGCAGGTGAATTTGTCAGGACAAAAAAAAGAAAAAAAAAAACTCTGCTTCAAGTTTCTCTATATATGGGGCTACATTTTAATATACTTTAATACAATTTGTGCGAATGAAATTGCAAAAGTATATATTTCTCAAGTATACATTATAGATTTGTTGGGTAATTTCGAGATAATATTTCTTGTTTAGGTTTAATAGTTTTGCAATAATTTAAGCATTCTAAACCTTGTTTCATTTAAAATATTTGAAGCTGAATTTTTAAATGCTTCGACAGAAGGTTAATAATGAACGCAAATTTTTAAGATGATTCACGAATCAAAACGTCAAAAAGTTTCTCGTTCGGTTGCTTTTATTGAAAAAGTTTAAAATAAACAAGAACATAAATCTACATCTTTTCTTTCATCCTTCTCTTTTCCTAAAAGAAATCCTCAAACAAAGATTTCTTTATACAAAAATTTTAACATCAGCATATAAGTTGAATTATTATAGGCGAAAAGTTGCAGTAAGTCCAGTAAAAGATACCTTTAATTTCTCAGGTATATGACCACCATGTTTCCAACGTAAATGCTTTATTCGTAACATACGTTCATTTAAATAAGTACAACAGCATCGTTTGATATATTCAATACAACTTTGCCTAGCTTGTGCTGTTATTACTACCTCCTGTTTTCTGTTATTTTCCGATATGGAACCTGATTTTAAGATTATCCTGAAAATCTTCACTACTTAAGGATAATAAATAAATATATTTTTTTATCAGTAAACATATATTTTTACCAATTTCTCATAAATTCAAAATTATTATGATCTATAATCAACTGTCAATATTGGCTATTTTGTCACCATTTTTCAATTATCAATAAAATGTTTGAAAAAAAGATATTTTGACTTAGATTACAGAAATTGTAATGTGCTTTGAAGTTCGATTAATTACTTAGTTAATTACTCACAAATCATCAGCATTTTTCTTGTATAGTTTGTTAATATTAGTGATACATTTTTTCATCGCATCAACCTGAAATTTGAACATATTCCAAAACTGTATGTACCAATACTAATATTATTCTTAGTTTCATATTTCAATCCGTTCTCCAAAAATGAATTTAGACCAGTTTAGGTGTATGTGTATGTGTATGTGTATGTGTGTGTGTGTGTGTATGTGTGTGTGTGTGTGTGTGTGTGTGTGTGTGTGTGTGTGTGTGTGTGTGTGTGTGTGTGTGTATGTGTATGTGTATGTGAAAATACACGACCTACTTTACTTTGTAATTAATCCTTTTCTCCCTAACTTTCCAAAATTTAAAATTAATTAAAGAAAAGACACCAACATTATACGGAGGGATGGAATCGGGTGAAGAATTCAATGAGCTGATTAGTGCAATGGCATCATCAATTACCGACTCGATGTCACGGTTCATATGGGGTGAGACTTGTTGGTTAGTTGTTGGTATGTTAAAGCGTACTTCTGAAAATTTCAAGTTTTGTTAAAAATTATTGCAAAAGAAAATAAAAGAACGAAGTGAACGCAATAGGCGCAACGTGATGAAAATTACTGATAATCAAAAACTCTTTGCTATAATGTCTTTTGAAAATTTTCACAAAAACTTCATATAAAACCAAAAAAAAAAAAAAAAGTTGTATATATAGGGCAGATATTATCATAGATATAAGCAAACAATGAAATATACATGTAAGTATATAAAAATTTTTTCACTTTCTTTACTAAGCAATGTAAATTTTATTTTGTAAATTTTGCATGTTATTTATTTAATTTCTAATTTTAATTTCCAAATTCTAATACTTCCTACAATAACTTTATAACCATTTGATATCAATTATAATAAAAAAAAAAAAAATATGACTAACAGAAAAAAAAATTCATATCAAAGCAAAATAAGAAAAAAGACCAATAAATCTTATTATCCTCCACATCTTCATCCTTCTTCTAGAATTTTCATTTTACTCTCTATATGATAAATCACCAAATGATTGAAAATTCTATTCGAGGAAATCCTTAAGTCCAATTTGAAAAGACAAGTGAGAGGAAATTAAAATCAAACAAAAGACAAAGATCAACAGTTGTGTGTGTGTGTGTGTATATATGTATATGTAATGGACAGATCGAGAAAATACAGAAGATAAAAGACTAGCGCATTTTCATCATTTGTATTATAAATTCGCTTCTCTTATCGAAAATGAAAATTTTTTGAAATTTAAATGGAAGAAAAATTGATATACATATATATACATATATACATGTGTCATCATTTATTAACCTTCATATTATATAAATTACAGCTGCTTTTTTATAAATTAATTTAATCAAGTTGAACAAGATCATATCAACTTAAAATTTAAATCAAATCAAAAAAACAAAATACAAAAAAAAAAAAAAAAATCGTTTCATAAATAATTAAAAGCTCAATTCTTTCTTCCTCATTTCTGTTGCAAAAAAAAAAAAAAAAAAGAAAAAAAAAGTCTGAGCTTAACTATACTTCAAATATTGAACTTAATTAACAATAAGATAAAGTCCATAAAGTAATTTCAACAGATCATTTCATAGAACATGACTTAAACTACCGTTTAATGTACCGTAAGCATAATATGCCTACAGTACCCTTTCACAGCTTATTTTTATAGGGACACCTAACTTAGATTGTATAATTTGTCAAAGAGTTGAGTGCAATCCAATATCAAATATACCAAGAGTAACAATAAAAAAGATTTTTTATTCCTTGCTAAATAACAAATTTATAAGTTTGTGATCAAACTTTGAAAAAATTGAATTCCCAATTACTAATTTATGAGGTGTGACGAGTTTTAATTAATTTAATCAACTGATAATCATCAATTGATGTTTCAAACACGATCAAATAAAATCTAAAATACAATTCGTGCTTTACAAATGATAATCGAATATACAAGCTAAGGCTCCCTAATATTCATCACCGTTATCAAATATATCTTTCTTTCTTATCAAAAAAAAAAAAAAAATATTTAGGAAAATATTTTGACCTCATCACATTATATGAAAATTGTTTCGGACAAGAATTTCTCACATCAAAGGCTTTGATACCATCGTTTTCAGACATTGATAATTTATGCACGATTTTGGTAGTTTTTTTTTTTTTTTTTTTTTACTATTTTTTTTTTAACCTGCAAAGGAATATTTTTTTACCCATGTCAAGAAACCTCTTTTGTTACCGTTACTATAAGCTAATATGAATGAGGAAGGAATGGATGATAAATATGCAACATATTTCTAGTGATGAATCAGAAAATTGAAAGATCTTTATAAAGAATATGCCAAAAGCAGAAATAACCTACTTCACTTGATAAAAAAAAAAAAAAAAAATATACAAAAATGTTGTGATTTTAATTCTTCAAGAATAAATGAGCAAAAAATATAAATTTTTTTTTTTTTAATACTTACCTATATTTTTCCTTCCCAATATTCATTGAAAAATTCCACTTCCATTTTTCCATCTCATCAATTTATCCCAAATTTTATATATTAGAATAGAACAAAATTTCTATTTAATTTTATTCATCATCTGAACTAGCTTTATTTCCACTTCTAATTTTTTAATCATTATGGTTTTTGTTATCAGTTATAGCTTTTGTTATAAAAGATATATGTATAATATCACTTAAATCCTCCTTTTATCACTTATATCTATCCATTAACCATTACTAGTAAAGTTATATACAGTAAAGTTCTTGCTTTCTCATTCCATCTTAACCTTCCTAGGAAAAACTAGCAGATATTTACAATTTTTTTTTTTTGAAAGACTAGTATTTGTAAATCAAATTTAGAGCAAAACGAACTAAACGAAAAAGAGAAGGAACAAATGATGGATTTAGATACATATTAATTACATCAGAGATAATAAGAACAACCGATAACAGAATAATCGTTCTAATGATTGTTCTGCAATTGGACAAGTTAGTTTAATTCTGATCTTTAGTCTGTAAAAGTCATATTCTGATGCCGCATGTCACATCTAAACTAAACGAATCTAAGAAATATGAAAATTGTCTACAATGAATTGAAATGAATTCAAAAGTTATGCTAATTGTAATATATGAAACTCCACTTTCTAATTAAAAAGTCATGCACCGAGGTGACTAAAAGAATCATCCACTTACAGATTACTGTTAACAATCAAAATGCATAACGAAATTGACATAATTCGACTGAAAAGTATATTAAATTTACTAAAATTTAAAAATTATTTCCTAAATACAATGCTCGCCTCACTCTCAAATACATTGTTTTCGAAGTCATCAAAAAATTTAAGCACATTAACTAAAAAATGTGCATTAAATTAGCATGATTTGAACAAAAAAAATAGGTCGGACAAGAAAAGAATCCGATTTTCAAATCCTAATCAAGAACCAGATAGCAGTAACAAACAACAGTTACCGAATGCAATAATTATTACATACAACCTGTGCCATGAAATCCAATACAATTACTGATCTCAAATTCGAATTATTTCGAATAAACAGCTTCATAAACTGCTCGTAACCATATAGACACAGCAATTGCACCAGCATCTGGCTCTTTTTGCACCAATGCAGAAGTGTAACTTGCACGGCCAACTTGTGCAATCATATTACTGGTCTCTTCTGCACTTTTTTCAGCTTGCTGCAAACAATTCATACAAAAAAAAAAAAAAAAAAACAAACAAACAAAACAAAAGGTTGAAATCATTGCAGCGCAAAAACTTAGCTCGATTTGCAGTTAAAAATTTGACAGCTAAACTGTTACCAATAATTGCTGATCTACTTGATCAAAAAAAGCAACACAATTGACAAATTCTCAACGAAATTTGTCAACGTGAATGTTAATTCTAGGAAGAAAAATAATTTCATACCAAAATAATATTGAAGAATTAAAAATAAAGAAAGAATAAACTCGAACATTACCTTCACAGCATTTTCCCATTGTACCTTCTCGGGATTATCACATGATATTGCTGTTACGGCAGCATGTAAAGGATCTACCTGTAATTATTAGTTATCAGTTGCATCGAAAAACTTAGTGCAAAATATAATAATATCTTTAGCGGTTATATACTTTTGCCAAGAATCAAAAAGAACATTTGATCTTTCCCAATTTCTTTACAGAATTTTGCATTCAAAATTTAAGATCTTTTTTTATAAGAAGCTTTAAAAAAAAAAAGAAGAAATCAAATAGCACTTCTTGAACAAATACTATAAAAAGCTGTAAAAAGTGAACAAAACTTCTCCGACAGCAAATGACCAGTACCAGAATCTAGTATGCATGAATAGTTGGATTACGTAGTATGATTTCGAATTTAAAGAGAAAAGCTTGTGCCTAATGTCTCGATGCTCAAAATGACACATTCCAATTACTGGCATCACGATAAAATGCATCATAGTTGTTATTAATATCTCGGTCAACCTAAATGTTAGATATTTCCTGTCATTTGAAATAAATCTACGGTTTTGAAAATGAAAAAAACAAACAAACCATAGATCTAGAACCCGGTTTAGCTTGCCCATATTTCATAATTGCTTCTAGGCTATTTTTCAACGCTACATGCCACTCTTTTGCAGTTGCTGATTCAATAAATGCCTGAGCTGCTGAGCTGAACATCAATGCATACAACTAGAAAGCATAAATGATTATTATCAATTTTTATTTTCAAAAAATTTAACAATTTCTTTCGCTGCAAATAACTTGTCAACATTATTGCTTCAATACAGCGAAGAAACAAAGCAACCGTAGGATGACGAAATGATGATGGACAGACATTTCCTGACAGAATTTCATCTGACATATGCCAATAAACTCTTATAATTTGTCTTTTTAATTATTGATGATTAAGATCAAATTACCCAGATCATTATATCAAAATCAAAGCCAAAAAATTTTTGAAGAAATCAAAAGAAAAATTGAAAACTTAACAGCTCCAGCTGTGCCACCAACTTCATTTTCAAATATTTGTGAAATTTCATTAAATAACGATTGCGGCATGTCACATCTAAGCTTTTCCTCATCCAAACATTTCAGAATTTCTGCAAAACAACAGTAGAAAATGAGTTAGATATTTAAATATTAAAATCATTTAACTTGAAAATATAAAAAAATAACTACAAATGGTTGCTGATTTACGACTATAAAATGAGGTTGTTAACAATTACTGCAGAACATCTGTTAATTTACAGATGTTCTGCAGTAATTGTTTTCTTCTTTTGAGCATGATAAGTAAAATAATACTTACTATTAGCACCAATTTTAAGTGTATTTCCACAGTCACCATCTCCTGCACTACCGTCTAAAGCATTCAATAGATCTGCAGCTTCATGGATTGCTATACATGCTTTTTTTATAGCTGCTTCTACAAGTTTTGCATTTTCTGCAACCTTTATTTTGTATTTAAGTATAACTGCTTCAAGTTAATGTTTCAAAGGCTCTAGTTCATCGTTATAATAGCGTTGTGAATTAATTTTCAAGTAATTTAATAAAAAATCATTTTTGTTTTTTCCACAGCAGTACAAGTAATTGCACAAAATTGACAAACTTGAAGAAAACATCCAATAAATGTAGAACAGTGGAACAAGGATCTTATAGTAGATGTATCGACTTTAGATGAAAATTAAAAAAAAAAAAAAATATACCCATAGGATCGCAAGATTCAGTAAATGCTCTTGATTTCATGTTGAGTTGAAAACTTTTTGTTACGACAAATTTTCAAATTAAAAAAAAATTTTTTTTCATGTTGAAGTATTTGAACGATATCATAACATTATACTATCGCAATACACAATTCATTAAAAAAATTACTTGATTGATGAAAATTAATGAATAAAGAAAATTATACCTCTAGAAAGTGTTGCTCCAACATATTTATCAATTCCCTGTTTAGTTACCGTTGATCTGATTTCGTTTGCATTAGATGAAAGTTTCGGAGGCAAATGTGTCATTCGCCATGCAGGTGCATCTGTTACCGCATCTTGAATTATTACTATTTAATTGTATTTTGATACTAACTGTAAAATCGCAATTCATTTTACGAGAGAGGAAAAGTTACAATCAAAATGATAGATTTGCTAAACTCAGTTTCTTGAATTCACTTGAATATTCTTTTTGGAGTCTCATTTAATCTCTACTTAGGGAATTTTAGTTTTATGTACCCAAATATCGTAACCAGTCATCTGATACCAATCGTAAAATCGTAATACTAATGCCATGACCATTCAATGATGTCATCACATTCTCCGAATAGAAACGTTGAAGACGATAATTCCTTTTATCTTAACATATAATAACATAAATTTCCAAATAAGTCAAATTGAATGCACTAGTTTGAAATAAATGTTTTGATAAATATGCCAGTCTAATATTTCTTTTTCATCGTATGAAAACTGAACTTTTAACCATAGAACAAAGTTTACAGTATATCCAATTCTAGTAACTAGGTCAAATTATCTACTTATCTAATATCTTCAAGAGCAAATGATAAAATTACTGAGACAAAACTTACATAGCCATGAACAGATTTCTCCAGATAGGATATTAAGTTCAATTTGTGATGTTCCACCAAGATTGTTTAATAAAACAACCAGTTTCTCGCCTGAAAATGTAAAAAGTTAGTTTAAAATTCTAAGATTCACACTTCATAGTCCAACTTTTACGCCTACACGTATTAGAAAGTAAATTAAAAGTTTTTCAAAAGTCTTTTATTCCTTTTTTTTCCAAACATTTTTACCTTTTTGAAGATTCAGTTTTTGGCTGCCTTCAAGCTTTTCCAGCAGTAGTTTTGTCACTTCTTTTGCTGTCCTGTATTGACTCCTTTCAAAACCAGGTTCACCATGAATACCGAGACCAAATTCCATCTGATCAGCTTCCAGTTCAAACATTGGGCCTTTCCCAGGTAAACTACATGCAGAAAGACTGACACCAATAGTGCCTGAAAATGATCACCAAAACTACTTCTACTAAATAATCTTAAAATACAGTATTAGATGTTGAAACTGCAAAATTATATTGGATCAACTTTCGTTTTACAAAAATTCCATTTTCTTTTATAACTTATTAACCACAACTGCCAAATTGTTTCTGAACAAAAATACCAATCGAAGTATTATTTACTTCTATTTATTTACTTCTTTCTTTTATTTCTGTTTAAGTAGAATTCCTTTTGACCAACCTAAATTATCATTTATAGTTCTGGATGTTGTCGTTATCGTTTTCAGATCTTTACCTTCTTCAGCCATTGCGCCAACAATCTAAAGACAGAAAATCGATTACTAAGAAAAATACACAAATCAATTGGAAAATTTGTACATGGAAATTGATTTTGAAGGACTTACTTTTAATAACAATACAGCACCTGCCAAACCACGACGACCAACATCTCGTCCAGCAATGCTACCTTCCAGGGCTATATCATCACCAATCATTACCATTTCTGCTTCACCATCCTGAACATTCGCATGATGAAGAAAATTTCAACATATATAACTTAACTTTTCAACATCAAATTTTGTTTTGAATTATTTAAGAACAGTTCGCTAACCATAATCAGATCAGACTTAGAACATACTGCGTTCATTCAGACCTATTTAATGACATTTTCACTTTTGTGTTAAATACAACATTAATTTCTACGTCCATTAAAAAGGAAAAAAAAAAAGTCCACCAGTTACTTAGTTCTCTCTCATAGACCTATGCTCATGGTGCATAAAAGTTTGACATGAAGTTTTTAAGAACTTAATCTATGTTTTCTATCTATAACAGTAGCTGATATCATGAAGGGTTCTATCATGCCTATCAAAATATTATTATATCTACGAACCTCTTTCTCCCGACTTGCATTGAATCGTTCCAAAGCTAAACCAAAATTAAGTCGATCACCAGTATAGTTGATAACAAATACGCCTATCCCAGCTGACAAATAAAATAAGTTTATAAATATGAAACTAAAATTCAGCACGAAAAACAAAATGAAAACTGGACACTTAACTACTCATAAACAATTCACTTGAATTCCGAGCAATCATTTACAAAATTTTATAAATTATTTGCTTACCACTGTTGCGAATAGCATTCAAGCCAGCAGTAATATGAGAAGTAGGTGGTGATGCAAAAATATTTCCACAAACGGCGGCCGATAGAAAACCTTTTCCAACGAAACCTACAAAATTAAATAAAAAATAAAAGTCTCAAGTCTTTTCATTTTTTTTTTATTATATTTGAAGTTCTCACAAAAAATTTCGAAAAGTTCTTTCTCATCAAATATATCAGTAATATTACAACTGAAACTATGTTAGTTTTTTACTGAATGTAAAATTTCCAGAGTATTACCTGCTGCAAATGGTTCATGCCCAGAACCTCCACCAGCAAGTAGCGTGACTTGTTTTCCTCCTTTCAGCTTATCAATATCAGCTCGAATAACGACACGATGGCAACACTGAAATTTTTTAAAAAAAAAAGATGCAATTATAACAATTAAAAACATATAAAATGCAGAAAAAGGAATTATTTACAAATAAAGTTAAGCATGTCTAATGATAACTTAACTACAGTTTCTATATGGAGTTTTTTTAAAACACGATTTTAAATATGGCGAGCCTACAAAATTACAACATTATTTAGTTTTAGATTCAGATCCCACTATACTATATACAAATAATACTCAGCATTTCAATCTCTTCAGCTATTAATAAAGTTGCATTTTTGATTAGTCAAAATTTAACTAAAGAAGAAGAATAAAAAAAAAAAAAAAAAAAAAACATAAGCTTTACATCTAAAGTTGCCAAATTGTCGTGCGAAAGAATTAACCCATTGATACTATCATCCACGGCACTGTCTGCACTATTTATGAATTTATTCGTCTTTTTTACCATTGTCGTTGCAATTTCAATTACTGCTTTTCCTGATGATAACAAAAAATTTTGTCAACGAATTAAGCAATAGATTTTGGAATAGATAATTTGTCAGAAACGCGAAGTTTAACAAAATTAATCCAAAGAAAAAGTTGAACATGCAAGAAAAATGTACAGAGACAGGAAAGAAAAAAAAAAAACTAAAGAATAGTTTTTAAAGAAATTTACATCTAAAACAGCTGATAAAAATAGGTGACACAAAAATAGGTTCAAAAATCTAATCACCTAAGCTTTTCTGTGTTTAATTTTGAAATCAAATAAATTACTTAATAAATTGAGTTTTAATTACTGAAACATTCGTAATTTAATCAATTGCATACAGATAACTTTCCGGAATTCGATAACACCTAAACTAATCGCTATGCTAACTGGATTTTGCTTCTTATTTCACGGAAACATTCGTGAACGAAACAGAACCATCACGTGGTCATAGCAATAAAAGACTGTAATAATATTGTGCAAGTCATGTACACGTAAAATATCATACAAGTCATGTACGAGCAAAATATCATACAAGTAATGTACACGTAAAATAAAGAACAACATGACAACACGTTAAATATCATACAAGTTTATTTTACAAGCCATGTAAAATATTAATTTCTACACAGACCACGTGAAATATTACGTAACTGTAAAGAGTACAAAAAAAATATATTATCATGGATATGGTAAATGATATCACGTAACCAGTACACGTATATGAAATATTATATAGTGTAATATTACGTGACTTACGTGTAAAATTCAATGCATTAACAAATAGATAAATCACAGAACAACATGACAACAGGTAGTCGAAGTGCACAGACAGAGACCTATTCCCTCACTTTCCCTCCTTTTCCGTGTCCCTTTTCCTCGCACTCTCTGTCCCTCTCTTCTCCCTTCTCTTTTTCTCTTCCTCAAACAAAAATTGAGGAACTGTTACAGGCGCTTAGTTTCATTTTTTTTTTTTAATTTTTTCTATGAAATTTATTGAAATATTTTAAAATTGGAAAAAAGATTTATTCCTCATAAAAATAATTAAATGATTGTTTAATGTGTAAAACTTTCATAATTTTTAATTCTTTTATTTCAAAATATTTCAAACATTTCTAACTAATAATTAATAGTGACAATAATGTGTTTAATAATAATAATAATAATAATAATAATAATAATAATAATAATAATAATAATAATAATAATAATATGTTTTATTAAATAATTTCAATTTTAAAAAATAAATAAATAAATCACGATAGAAACCATTGTTCTAGTAATAAAAGAACAAATTACAATTGTAAATAATTTATCAAATTTATCAAATATTTCTTTTTCGGTAAAATTTAAATTTTTATAAGTTATATTATTTTAAACTATTTCATTATGTATATAGAGAGAGGAAAAAAAAAAAGGGTAAACAACTTTAGATTAAACGTAAACATAGGAGAAAAAAATCTGATAAATTTAATGCATTATCTTATCAGCATAATTATTGATTAGTTTGGAGATCTATTGTAAATATTTATCAGTTTGTTTACTATTTCCTAATTATATTTTATCATAAAAGACAGTTTATAGTTATTCAAAATTAATTAAATGCTAATTAAATAATATAAAATGGAACGAACATTTATGTTTTACTTCTCTCTTATATCTATGTGATGCACATTTTATTTTTTTTTTTTTTTTTAATTATTTAATCAGTTTCGTTTTTATTTTTTTTTTTTCGAGTAGTATAGCATAATAATCAAAATATTAAAGGAATAACACCGACTGTAAAAATTCTTTCCATTAATTCTTGCCAATTCCTTTCTCATATTTTTTATCAATCTCTGCCACTTAGTTTCTCGTATTTTTTATCAATCTCTGCCACTTAGTTTCTCGTATTTTTTATCAATCTCTGCCACTTAGTTTCTCGTATTTTTTATCAATCTCTGCCACTTAGTTTCTCGTATTTTTTATCAATCTCTGCCACTTAGTTTCTCGTATTTTTTATCAATCTCTGCCACTTAGTTTCTCGTATTTTTTATCAATCTCTGCCACTTAGTTTCTCGTATTTTTTATCAATCTCTGCCACTTAGTTTCTCGTATTTTTTATCAATCTCTGCCACTTAGTTTCTCGTATTTTTTATCAATCTCTGCCAATTCCTTTCTCATATTTTTTATCAATCTCTGCCACTTAGTTTCTCGTATTTTTTATCAATCTCTGCCAATTCCTTTCTCATATTTTTTATCAATCTCTGCCACTTAGTTTCTCGTATTTTTTATCAATCTCTGCCACTTAGTTTCTCGTATTTTTTATCAATCTCTGCCACTTAGTTTCTCGTATTTTTTATCAATCTCTGCCACTTAGTTTCTCGTATTTTTTATCAATCTCTGCCAATTCCTTTCTCATATTTTTTATCAATCTCTGCCACTTAGTTTCTCGTATTTTTTATCAATCTCTGCCACTTAGTTTCTCGTATTTTTTATCAATCTCTGCCACTTAGTTTCTCGTATTTTTTATCAATCTCTGCCACTTAGTTTCTCGTATTTTTTATCAATCTCTGCCACTTAGTTTCTCGTATTTTTTATCAATCTCTGCCACTTCGTTTCTCGCATCTTTTATCAATCTCTGCCACTTAGTTTCTCGTATTTTTTATCAATCTCTGCCACTTAGTTTCTCGTATTTTTTATCAATCTCTGCCACTTAGTTTCTCGTATTTTTTATCAATCTCTGCCACTTCGTTTCTCGCATCTTTTATCAATCTCTGCCACTTAGTTTCTCGTATTTTTTATCAATCTCTGCCACTTCGTTTCTCGCATCTTTTATCAGTCTCTGCCACTTAGTTTCTCGTATTTTTTATCAATCTCTGCCACTTAGTTTCTCGTATTTTTTATCAATCTCTGCCACTTAGTTTCTCGTATTTTTTATCAATCTCTGCCACTTAGTTTCTCGCATTTTTTATCAATCTCTGCCACTTAGTTTCTCGCATTTTTTATCAATCTCTGCCACTTAGTTTCTCGCATCTTTTATCAGTCTCTACCACTTAGTTTCTCGTACTTTTTATCAAACTGCACCTCTTATCACTCTACATATTGCTATTAATACCTTATCAATGTTGTTTTTTATCATTTCTCACAAATTTCTACTATGATATCTTTTTTCAAAAATTTTAACAGCTAATACTTTTAAATAAAGAATGAATTGAATCGAAGCGAAAGTTTTATTATTATGAAGCATAAACAGATTTAAAAAAGACGAGAAAGATAATTGAAACGATAGTTTTTATCACATAATTTATACTCTTTCACACATACACAAACGAAAGTATTACTTTGATTCTGTAAACAATAACATTAAATATCAGATTTAATCATTTCCGTTGTAAAGTTGAATTTGATATCATTGATAACAAAAGTCTGAATTCAACATTTTTGAACTGAGTTATTGTTATTCTCTCGCATTATTATCTTCATCCTTGATCATTATTATATCATCATTTTCGTTATCATATTAAACCATCATGTTTATTATTATTATTATTACTGTTCATCACCAGTAATTATTATCATTATCATTATTATCATCATATTAGCTACTATTGTTATTATTATCAATTTGCATTATTTTCATTATATATTATCATTATTATCATCATAATAATAAATCGTCATAATAATCTATTATTTCCTTGCTTTCCTTTAAAATTCATCCATAAATTTTTTCTTTTTTTTCATCTATTCCTCTTTCTTTTTTCTTTTTTTTTCTTTTCACTTCAATGATTGATAATTGTATTTGGAAAAAAAAAAAAAAATTTCCAACAAATTTCAAATATTTTGAATGAGAAATGGAACATATTTTTTTTTTTTTTTTTATTAATTGATCAATAATAAATAGTATTGAGAATGTTTCATTTATGTAGTCAAGACTTTTTAGAAGATATCTTCCATTAGATAAGATACTTTACTTTTTTCCATTTAATTTATTCATATTTAATCATTATGCGAAATTAAAATTTGAAATCTATTTAATCAAATATACAATATTTGCTTTCATTTCGTTCTCTTTTAGTTTTATATTAAAAATATGCATTAGCAATAAATAATAGTTATAAATTAATACAATATGGAATGTTTATAAATTGTTTGGAGCAAATGGCGGTGATATTGTTGAGCTGACCGATATTTTCTTCAAAGTATTGCAGTAAGATGTTGTATTATTAGTTGCTGAAAATCTGCAATAAAAGAAAGTAATCAAATTAAAAAAAAAAAAAAGAATCACTTAAAATGGCTAATAATTTTTAAATTATAAATAAGCAAATATCGAGAAGAAAAAAAAAAAGAGAAAAATAAATTGAAATTGTAAATTAAATAACATGCAATAAAACTTATTACAGCAATGAAATAATAAAGAAAGAAAATAAAATTAGAGAAAATATTAGAGAAAAGAGAAAAAGAAAAAACAAAATTTAATTTAAATGAAATATTTTAAAATTAAAATATTTCACTAATATACACAACAAATTTCATTTTAAAAAAAATTTTTTTTTTAAATTAAGATTAAATCTGATGCAAAGTACAACAGCAATTTTTCACAAGTTTAATTATTAAAATGTTTTATTATAAAATTGCTGATTAATTTTGTAATTTAATTTTTCATCTCTCATTTTTTCCCAGCTAATCGATAATAACCATAGCGTAAACAATGATAGTTGTTTACTGAGATGTGTTTTATTGATAAGAAAATTAATTTTGGAATAATCTCATTATTTTAAATCCTGTTATTATCACTTATTGTTGTTATTAACATTATCATTATCATTATTATTATCATTATTACCATTACTATTAATATTATTTATTATTATCGTTTACTATTATTATTATTAGTTTTCTTTACATTCATTACAGTTTCAGCATTAATTACACAATTAATTAAAATTTATTTTGTATTTTTATTATATTTAATTTAATTAACTCTCGTATTTTAATAA